ATATAATTTGATATTTAAATTTTAAAAATAAATAAATAAATGAATAGATGTAATAATCGTAACCTAATTATTTAATATATTTTTTTACATATAACATAGCGTTTCAAACTAAAGTTCGAAATATTAACATTTGAGAAGTTCTAACTTAAATATTAAACATTTAATACATAAAAAGTTAATGTTATTAAATTAAGAATCTAAATCTGTTAATTTTTAAAATTTAATAATTAAAATATATTAAAATTTAAGACATAAATAAATTTTAGTTTCATATCAAAATTTAGGAAATATAATAACTATATTTAACTGTATTAGTAAAAGGAGAGAAAGTAGTATTTTATCCCAATTCAGTACTAGAGACTCTCACCGAAACATAAGAAAGCGAAAGAAAGCCAGCTACGCTGCTGACAGGAATGTTCGAAATCCAAGTTCCAAACGTGTGCTCTGGTCGGCGTTTTCAACGCTTCAGTCAACCCCAAACCACTTAACGTCCGTTACAAAACCACAAAATTTCTAACGAATATTTTCCTCCGTTACCCTTATTCCGCCGTCAAATTTCCAACACCTTTTTCTCCTGCTTTTCCTTCCCCTATATTTATACATACCCTGTTTGAACACTCCCGGTCTCATATTGCGGTTATTAAAAAAGCTCCTTCTCCATGGTGCCTTCGTTTTCTTTCAAAACCATATTATTATATGTCATCAACTGAAGCGAAATTCAGCATAGCTTAGCTCTGCTCGTGTATTGAATCAAAGTCTTTTCTATTGGTACGCGTTGAATATTAATGGTCTTCAAGGTATGCTAAGTGCTTACACCAACGTTTTTCACTTTCCTAGACAATTTGGTTTTCTCGGTCACCGTTTTTTTTTTTTGTATTCGCAGTTTATGCATCTTTTTTCTATGTTATGTGTTTGTTTGCATACAAGGCTGATTCTTAATGCTTGGTGATTTGAGGGTCTTGCTTTCTGAATTAAGAAATAGAATTTTGCATGTTATTGTTTGATTGAGAAGAATGATGTAACATCATTTCTGCTGCTGAAAGCTGCAAATTTTGGTTGAAGTTGAAGGTTTCGATTTTGATTTGGTTTAAATTTTTTGCTTGAATAAAATGGTTTGGGCGGGGTGGATTAGTGGATTTTGAATTAAGACGAAGGTTCTTTTTCTGGGTTTCGAGGAATTTTTCTGGATTTATTGGTATGGTATGAACAACTGTATATCCAGCTTCCATGAACAGGAAATAATAAGGTTTAAGTTTTGGTTACGTGGCTTAGTGGCTTTCCTGGTTGCAAAGTAAACATTGGAACAGCAATGAGGAATTGTGACTTACATGGTATCGTTGCAGTTGTTACTATTGATGTTATTATAAGCTTCCTTTCTCTTACTACTTGAGTTTTTCTATGTTCATGGTGTGTAAGTCTTTCTCCTGGTCACTAAATTAGTACATGACCATATTTTTTCTTGATTTGAGATATCTAACGTGTCCCCTCATGCCTAACATGTTCCCGAAAACCAAAATCTGAACATCTCAAACAAGAAAATGGAGGAATGTCCGATAATGGGTAACACCATTTTATAAAATGAACTTTAAGCTTACATTAATCTTACAAATCAGCCTATAAGGTGAGATCTTGTCTAGTTATATATTATGATTTGGTTATATCTCTAGCTGAATTGGGTTGGATACATAGACTAAGGAGATAGTCAAGTTATAAGATGTAGATGGTTACAAACTTCATTTCCCAAATATTTTGTGATATTGAATTAGATTTGAAGCTCATCTTCCAAAAATAGAGAAGAGTAGCGATGAATTCAATAACAAAAAACCAGAATTGTAGCTTTACATCTGCTAATTAGCGTTATATTTTCCGTGCGTACAAGTTCATTTAATTCTTGTATGTATGTGTGATTTCGCTTCTCCACTTGTTGGGGCAAAAATAAGTTTTATTGTCTTGTTCATGCGAATATTGACAGATTGCTGCTCTGTTTTACAAGGTTTATCTGTTATTATTGTAAGTGTTGGTATACTAGTCGGGAGCAGAAGTTGGCCAAGGAAACTGCTTTTAGCTGATTGATTTGTCATAGTATGGACTTGAATGAGTTTTCAAGTGTCGGTGTGACTAGTTCGGCAGGAACTCCTTGCACATCATCTTATATTCCTATTTCAGCAATACCCAACAGGTTGCTTGGATCCTTGAAACACGACATAGAACACTCTCCTAATTCGGCCCTTTCTACCCATTTTGATTCTGATACCCTTTCTTCTGCGCTAAGTGACAGCCAGGAACAGCACACCGCTGGGGAAATTCACTCTGGTGTAAACCCTTTGCAGGAAACCAATCATTATTTGTATAGGCCAGTCTCATCTGTGGACCATCTCCAAGACGGTAAGCATCTATCTACTAGATGCTTTTTTCCACAGGATATAGGTTATGATCATGAAACCAGGTATGCATTGCTGGAATTAGAAACTGCTTTGATGGCACCTGATGGTGATGATCAAGTCACCACATCAAGCACTTCTTTGGGTGTTAACAGAAGGCCTACAACATCTGCCCAGAGAAATAGATCCTGGAGCCATGAGGGGCAGCCAAGTGATGTTGCACGAGTAGGTAAGCGTCACAAATCAACTGAGGAAGTATCACTACAAGGATTCCCATCAACCAATTTGAAAGAATTGCTGATTGTATCAGCCAAAGCCTTGTCTGAAAACAACATGAAAGATTTTGATCGACTGATAGAGAAGGCTAGAAGTGTTGTGTCTATAACTGGGGAGCCAATCCAGCGCCTTGGTGCTTATTTGGTGGAAGGACTTGTTGCAAGGAAGGGGGCATCAGGGAATAACATCTACCGTGCACTTAGATGCAGAGAACCTGAAGGAAAAGACTTGCTCTCTTACATTCAGCTACTGTATGAAATATGTCCCTACTTAAAATTTGGTTACATGGCTGCCAATGGCGCCATTGCTGAAGCTTGTAGAGATGAGGACCACATTCATATCATAGACTTTCAGATTGGTCAGGGAATTCAATGGATGACACTTCTTCAAGCTCTTGCTGCAAGACCTGGTGGAGCTCCTCATGTACGGATCACAGGGATTGATGACCCCCTTTCTAAATATGTTCGTGGTGATGGATTAGAAGCCGTTGGAAAAAGGTTGGCTGAAATATCTCAGACATTTAACATCCCAGTAGAGTTCCACAGTGTGCCTGTTTTAGCTCCATATGTGACAAAAGACATGCTTGACATTAGGCCTGGTGAAGCTTTGGCTGTGAATTTCCCTTTGCAACTCCATCACACGGCTGATGAGAGTGTGAATATGAATAATCCAAGGGATGGACTTTTGAGATTGGTAAAATCACTTTCTCCCAAGGTAACTACGTTGATTGAGCAAGAGTCGAACACTAATACCACTCCTTTCTTCAACAGGTTTATAGAAACCTTGGATTACTACTTGGCAATTTTTGAGTCCATTGATGTGTCTCTTGCAAGAAAGAGCAAGGATCGGATTAATGTGGAACAACATTGTCTGGCACGGGATATTGTCAATATTGTTGCTTGTGAAGGGAAGGAAAGGGTAGAGAGACATGAACTATTAGGTAAGTGGAAGTCTAGGTTCACAATGGCTGGATTTTCTCAATATCCTTTGAGTTCATACGTTAATTCTGTCATAAGGAGCCTGCTTAGGTGCTATTCAGAACATTATAATCTTGTGGAGAAGGATGGGGCCATGTTGTTGGGATGGAAGGACAGAAATTTGATTTCAGCTTCAGCATGGCATTGATTACATGCAGAGAGGGAATATTGTACTTGGGGTAGAAATATGTTGTTGACAGATGTTTATGTTGATTTCCAGGGCCATGTGTCCCTTATCATTGTTTTAAAGGTCATTGTTCCATAAATTACCATATGGAGTTTCATATCTTAGTGATGCTATAACAATTCTTTTATGGAATATTTAGTTATGTACAGGGTTTTGGGTAACAAATTTTGTACTTGTTCCTGAAACTTATTCTTGTCTTCAACAAAAAATTTAATAATTTAACAATAAGATTGTTCACAGTTGGCTACATTCTTATGCGATAAATTTTGTNTATATATATATATATATATATATATATATATATATTAATAAGGATTAAATATACTTTTAATCAAATGTGAAAATTAAAATTCATAAACATTTAAAAAATTTATATAATTTGATATTTAAATTTTAAAAATAAATAAATAAATGAATAGATGTAATAATCGTAACCTAATTATTTAATATATTTTTTTACATATAACATAGCGTTTCAAACTAAAGTTCGAAATATTAACATTTGAGAAGTTCTAACTTAAATATTAAACATTTAATACATAAAAATTTAATGTTATTAAATTAAGAATCTAAATCTTTTAATTTTTAAAATTTAATAATTAAAATATATTAAAATTTAAGACATAAATAAATTTTAGTTTCATATCAAAATTTAGGAAATATAATAACTATATTTAACTGTATTAGTAAAAGGAGAGAAAGTAGTATTTTATCCCAATTCAGTACTAGAGACTCTCACCGAAACATAAGAAAGCGAAAGAAAGCCAGCTACGCTGCTGACAGGAATGTTCGAAATCCAAGTTCCAAACGTGTGCTCTGGTCGGCGTTTTCAACGCTTCAGTCAACCCCAAACCACTTAACGTCCGTTACAAAACCACAAAATTTCTAACGAATATTTTCCTCCGTTACCCTTATTCCGCCGTCAAATTTCCAACACCTTTTTCTCCTGCTTTTCCTTCCCCTATATTTATACATACCCTGTTTGAACACTCCCGGTCTCATATTGCGGTTATTAAAAAAGCTCCTTCTCCATGGTGCCTTCGTTTTCTTTCAAAACCATATTATTATATGTCATCAACTGAAGCGAAATTCAGCATAGCTTAGCTCTGCTCGTGTATTGAATCAAAGTCTTTTCTATTGGTACGCGTTGAATATTAATGGTCTTCAAGGTATGCTAAGTGCTTACACCAACGTTTTTCACTTTCCTAGACAATTTGGTTTTCTCGGTCACCGTTTTTTTTTTTTGTATTCGCAGTTTATGCATCTTTTTTCTATGTTATGTGTTTGTTTGCATACAAGGCTGATTCTTAATGCTTGGTGATTTGAGGGTCTTGCTTTCTGAATTAAGAAATAGAATTTTGCATGTTATTGTTTGATTGAGAAGAATGATGTAACATCATTTCTGCTGCTGAAAGCTGCAAATTTTGGTTGAAGTTGAAGGTTTCGATTTTGATTTGGTTTAAATTTTTTGCTTGAATAAAATGGTTTGGGCGGGGTGGATTAGTGGATTTTGAATTAAGACGAAGGTTCTTTTTCTGGGTTTCGAGGAATTTTTCTGGATTTATTGGTATGGTATGAACAACTGTATATCCAGCTTCCATGAACAGGAAATAATAAGGTTTAAGTTTTGGTTACGTGGCTTAGTGGCTTTCCTGGTTGCAAAGTAAACATTGGAACAGCAATGAGGAATTGTGACTTACATGGTATCGTTGCAGTTGTTACTATTGATGTTATTATAAGCTTCCTTTCTCTTACTACTTGAGTTTTTCTATGTTCATGGTGTGTAAGTCTTTCTCCTGGTCACTAAATTAGTACATGACCATATTTTTTCTTGATTTGAGATATCTAACGTGTCCCCTCATGCCTAACATGTTCCCGAAAACCAAAATCTGAACATCTCAAACAAGAAAATGGAGGAATGTCCGATAATGGGTAACACCATTTTATAAAATGAACTTTAAGCTTACATTAATCTTACAAATCAGCCTATAAGGTGAGATCTTGTCTAGTTATATATTATGATTTGGTTATATCTCTAGCTGAATTGGGTTGGATACATAGACTAAGGAGATAGTCAAGTTATAAGATGTAGATGGTTACAAACTTCATTTCCCAAATATTTTGTGATATTGAATTAGATTTGAAGCTCATCTTCCAAAAATAGAGAAGAGTAGCGATGAATTCAATAACAAAAAACCAGAATTGTAGCTTTACATCTGCTAATTAGCGTTATATTTTCCGTGCGTACAAGTTCATTTAATTCTTGTATGTATGTGTGATTTCGCTTCTCCACTTGTTGGGGCAAAAATAAGTTTTATTGTCTTGTTCATGCGAATATTGACAGATTGCTGCTCTGTTTTACAAGGTTTATCTGTTATTATTGTAAGTGTTGGTATACTAGTCGGGAGCAGAAGTTGGCCAAGGAAACTGCTTTTAGCTGATTGATTTGTCATAGTATGGACTTGAATGAGTTTTCAAGTGTCGGTGTGACTAGTTCGGCAGGAACTCCTTGCACATCATCTTATATTCCTATTTCAGCAATACCCAACAGGTTGCTTGGATCCTTGAAACACGACATAGAACACTCTCCTAATTCGGCCCTTTCTACCCATTTTGATTCTGATACCCTTTCTTCTGCGCTAAGTGACAGCCAGGAACAGCACACCGCTGGGGAAATTCACTCTGGTGTAAACCCTTTGCAGGAAACCAATCATTATTTGTATAGGCCAGTCTCATCTGTGGACCATCTCCAAGACGGTAAGCATCTATCTACTAGATGCTTTTTTCCACAGGATATAGGTTATGATCATGAAACCAGGTATGCATTGCTGGAATTAGAAACTGCTTTGATGGCACCTGATGGTGATGATCAAGTCACCACATCAAGCACTTCTTTGGGTGTTAACAGAAGGCCTACAACATCTGCCCAGAGAAATAGATCCTGGAGCCATGAGGGGCAGCCAAGTGATGTTGCACGAGTAGGTAAGCGTCACAAATCAACTGAGGAAGTATCACTACAAGGATTCCCATCAACCAATTTGAAAGAATTGCTGATTGTATCAGCCAAAGCCTTGTCTGAAAACAACATGAAAGATTTTGATCGACTGATAGAGAAGGCTAGAAGTGTTGTGTCTATAACTGGGGAGCCAATCCAGCGCCTTGGTGCTTATTTGGTGGAAGGACTTGTTGCAAGGAAGGGGGCATCAGGGAATAACATCTACCGTGCACTTAGATGCAGAGAACCTGAAGGAAAAGACTTGCTCTCTTACATTCAGCTACTGTATGAAATATGTCCCTACTTAAAATTTGGTTACATGGCTGCCAATGGCGCCATTGCTGAAGCTTGTAGAGATGAGGACCACATTCATATCATAGACTTTCAGATTGGTCAGGGAATTCAATGGATGACACTTCTTCAAGCTCTTGCTGCAAGACCTGGTGGAGCTCCTCATGTACGGATCACAGGGATTGATGACCCCCTTTCTAAATATGTTCGTGGTGATGGATTAGAAGCCGTTGGAAAAAGGTTGGCTGAAATATCTCAGACATTTAACATCCCAGTAGAGTTCCACAGTGTGCCTGTTTTAGCTCCATATGTGACAAAAGACATGCTTGACATTAGGCCTGGTGAAGCTTTGGCTGTGAATTTCCCTTTGCAACTCCATCACACGGCTGATGAGAGTGTGAATATGAATAATCCAAGGGATGGACTTTTGAGATTGGTAAAATCACTTTCTCCCAAGGTAACTACGTTGATTGAGCAAGAGTCGAACACTAATACCACTCCTTTCTTCAACAGGTTTATAGAAACCTTGGATTACTACTTGGCAATTTTTGAGTCCATTGATGTGTCTCTTGCAAGAAAGAGCAAGGATCGGATTAATGTGGAACAACATTGTCTGGCACGGGATATTGTCAATATTGTTGCTTGTGAAGGGAAGGAAAGGGTAGAGAGACATGAACTATTAGGTAAGTGGAAGTCTAGGTTCACAATGGCTGGATTTTCTCAATATCCTTTGAGTTCATACGTTAATTCTGTCATAAGGAGCCTGCTTAGGTGCTATTCAGAACATTATAATCTTGTGGAGAAGGATGGGGCCATGTTGTTGGGATGGAAGGACAGAAATTTGATTTCAGCTTCAGCATGGCATTGATTACATGCAGAGAGGGAATATTGTACTTGGGGTAGAAATATGTTGTTGACAGATGTTTATGTTGATTTCCAGGGCCATGTGTCCCTTATCATTGTTTTAAAGGTCATTGTTCCATAAATTACCATATGGAGTTTCATATCTTAGTGATGCTATAACAATTCTTTTATGGAATATTTAGTTATGTACAGGGTTTTGGGTAACAAATTTTGTACTTGTTCCTGAAACTTATTCTTGTCTTCAACAAAAAATTTAATAATTTAACAATAAGATTGTTCACAGTTGGCTACATTCTTATGCGATAAATTTTGTTGCTTTACCCATTTTTGTTTTGATAAGATTGTTTGCATAAGGTGATAAATGGTGGCTGGTTCTTTATATACTTAAGGGTAATGACATGGTAATACAAATTTTTTGACAACATTTTGATACAGCACAAATGTCATTTTCACACTAGGTTTAAAGTACGTCAACATAATAACAAATAATGAACCAATGAAAAAATAACATGTGTGCTATGTAAAATATTGTCCAAAATTTTGTGTCTAAATATTGATGTTATACAAATTTTTTGACAACATTTTGACACAACACACATGTCATTTCCTCATTGGGTTTAGAGTATGTCATCACAATAACAAACAAATAATGAACTACGAGAAAATGACACGTATGCTAGGTCAAAATGTCTTAAAATAATGTGTCAAAATATCTACTTTTTATACAGGTAATGATATGTTAACACAAATTTTTGATAACATTTTAACACAGCACATGTATCATTTTCTCATTGGGTATAAAGTACGTTAGCACAATAACAAATAAAAAATGAACCAATGAGAAAATGACACGTATGTTTATTGAGACAATATCATCTAGAGAGAGACTGGATCGTCTAAAACATCTCTGGTTTTGAAGTTTAACAAACAATATTAAATGAAATAACCATGGGAAATCAAATGTCTAAGAAAAAGGAAAGAACATAGATATATCACGCAGAGAATAAAATCACATTCTCGAGTGGTCATAAGAGAAAGTGTCGAAAAACTAGATGATGAACAACATAGAATCATCTAAGTATCCATCAAATGAACAATGTAGATTTCCGCTTAACTAGAAAAGAAAGCTAGAGAGAAAAACATATAAAGATTAGAAACATCTAAGCGTCAAGCCAAATCAGAATGAAAATCAAAGGTTTATATCTAAAGCTACACCGAAGCATCTAAATGCTGAACAACGAAAGAGATAAGCTAAATATGACGTGTTCTTGAGAAGAAGCGTCTGATCAGTAGCAAAAACCTGCATATATTTGTCAAGACACTATGCTTAAAGATATATATACATTCACAAAGTGATGAGTATAAAAGTGTCTAAGTGAATCTTGTAAAACAATAAGCATAAAAATCTATCAAGTAAAACACGTTTTACAACAGGTATCGTCTAAAAGCAAAACAAAAGGATATACCTTTAAGTCCTAAGGATGACACTCCACCCTTGAGAAAAGATGTAATACTAAAGCTTGATGTCTCACAATTAATCAGTGCTACAAGAAGAGAGGGAGCTAAAGCAAAAACATCGTCTAATGAATATTAGCTTTGAACAATAAAGACATGATCTCAAACTTCCAATCAATTAAAAATGTCTTATGAATAATATCGTTTCATGAAAAGCGCGTCAATCTCTATGTATCAAATTACTTTTCATTTATAAGTGTCTAATACTTCACAATGAATAAAAATATGTTTTATATTGTCTAATATTATTTGAATGTTATAATCAACTGATATATTTATTATTGACATGATGTATGACCAGATGTTTTGAACATATAGTTCAAGATAACGTTCATAAATGCTCAGAACATTTAATGTCATTTAATGCATGTATTGTAAAAATGGCATTCTACTTGTATATTTTGTCCTTATTTAATGTGCAGATCACAATTATACAATAGGTTAATTAGAACAACTGCATACGTGGATAAAGAAGATCAACTAAAAAAGAGCTATATAAAGAAGATCAACTAAAAAAGGAAAAGATGTTGCTTTTTGAGAAAAATGTAGAAGGATGATTAAATCATAAATATAGAAAAGGTGATAAAGAGAGGAAGAGAAGAAAAAGATTGAGAAAGAGAGAATGAGCTTAAGAAAAATCATTAGTCATTGACTTTATCTCATCTCATCTTCAAGCTTATAATGTTTGATGCTTCCAAGAAAAAGAAAAGAAAAAGAAGAAAGATGAAGAAAAACAAAAGAGAGCGATAAAGTATTATGCCTAAGATGGGATGAAGAAGAGAGAGAGAGAGAAAAGAAATGAGGTTGAAACAGTTGAGGTTGAAATGAAGTAAAGAAAAATGAAATTGAGAGCATAGTGAAAAGAAAAGAAGAAAAGAAAGAGAGTATGCATTAAATATTCATGCTATTGCTCACTAAGCTCATACACATCATCTGAAGCTCTTCCATCCAAAGGGAATAGAGAAAAGAATGAGTATATAAATCAAAATTTAGCTTAATGATCAACAATGTTGCAATTCAAAGCCTGCTCATATGCAACTCTTCACTCAAAGGACACAACTTCATTGAAGAGGAGATGAGAAGATAAAAAGAGCAAGTATTCGTTTTACTGCTTTTCACACTTACATTTGATGCTTCTCTAATAAAAGGAATAACCTCACTAAAGAGAAGAGGAAAAGAGCAAGCACAAGTATGAAGATTGTAGATGAAAAAAATTTCTCTCCACACTTTCATCGTCTAATGCTCTTCAGTAAAGCAAGCAACCTCCAAGTTAAAAGACTGCACTTCATTATATTTATCCTCTTTAGGAGAGTTAAATTAAGTATGTAGCTTTACAAGTGTCAAATTGTAATTGTGAACATATCCTCTCTAGAGTTAAACATTTGTACCTTGTAATATCCTACAGTAAATTTGTTGTATGTTCTGGAGAGAACTAAAACACTTACAACCAGGAGTGGGTGATGCTCAATTAGGCATTGTATTAGGTAGATACTAGGATTGTCTAGGGATGTCAAGAGTGGCTAAAATACTCGGATGCCAAGAGTGGCTAGAATACTCATGTGTCAGGAGTGGCTAGGATATTCATATGCCATGAGTGCCTAGAATACTCAGGTGTCATAAGTGGCTAGAATACTTAGAAACCAACACTATTACAAACAGCGTACAACGTCGAATATTTTGGGCCTTTCACATCGAATTTGAGATCGACGTCATATTGGGAGACGTTAAATTGACGTCAAATTTAAAAAAATTGACGTTAAATTAACGTCAAATTTTGTCAATATTCGACGTTAATCAATTTTTTTTTGTTTTTTTAATTAATTGTGATTCTTTTTAACAATTCTACGAGACCTGAAAAGCAGAAAAACAACAAATTTCTGTTTTTGGTATTTTATAAAGCATGAACTATGAACGTGTAGTGTAGTATCAACAAAAAACAACAATAACCAACAACAAACAAGTTTAATCAAACAACAACAGCAAACAAGTTCAATCAAACAACAACAACAACAAACAAGTTCAACCAAACAACAACAACAAACAAGTTCAACCAAACAACAACAACAAACAAGTTCAACCAAACAACAACAACAAACAAGTTCAACAATTAAGTTCTTCAAAACGAAAATGAAAATTATCCTTCAAAAGGTGGGTTCGTCAAAATAAAGTGTCGTCACTAGTGAGAGAGAAAGAAGAATGCGCCTATGAAGGACATGAACACGAAAATAATCGGTCAAAACAAGCGAAAATCATACATAAAGTAATTAATTAACATGCATTTGTATCAAATGAAAGAAAGATTACATATGATGGTCGCCAAACTTCATTCCAGAAAAGTTTGAGAAGAGAAGACGGTCTCGCGCGCTAAGATAAAGTAAATGAATTTTCAATCTCCCGCTCAAATTTTTATTGAATTCACTAACCTTTTGACGTCTAACACTGGAGCATTCGACGGTTTATATCATTTTACATCGAATTACAATTCTAAACAACGTCTAATAATTGTATTTATTTACAAAACTGTCATCGATCATTTTTAACGTTGGTTATTCATTAGTTGGACGTTAAACGCATGACGTTATACGTTGTTTTTGCACTAGTGCAAGAGTGGTTTAGAATACTCAGATTAGACATGCTGTCTAGGGAAACAAGAGTAGGTGAAACTCAACTAAACAGTATCAATGAGATACTTAGATTGTCTAGGGATACTAGGAGTGGTGAAGAATATTACACAACCAAGAATGCCTTAAACTGAACTAGACAAAAGTTAGGAATACTAGGAATGGTGAAGAATACTACACAACCAGAAGTAGGTTAAACTCAACTAGACGAAAGTCTAAGGATTCTAGGTGAATAATATTGCATAACCGGGAGTTAGTTAAACTCGTGTAATTTTTGAAAAAGATAAATGTCTCTCAAGAGTTTTTGGGAGAGACTGGACGTAACTTAGTTGGAACGAACCAATATACAAATCTTGTGTCTATTGCTTTACTCTATTAAATTCCTTTTTACTTTTATTATAAAATGGCAACGTCTAAACAAGTTGTTCAAACTATCTATTTTCTTATATTCACTAGATGCTGATTATGTGAACTAAAACATATGTGTCAGCTCACTTTCATTCAATCATGAGGTACTTAAATTATTTATTAAAAGACTCACACTTCCTTCTATCACTATAGTTTAAAACTATACACAATTCTTCTTGTGAGATCTTTCTAAACATTTACTATGAACAATGTCTTTAACTACTCATTCACATTTATTTATTAGACGCTATGTTGCAAAAAGAATTCCAAAACACCATTCAACCTCCCCTTTCTATTATTTTATTGTGACTTCAATGTTGTGTCAAAATGTCATAAAAGAATCCTTGTCAAAATGTCTTTTTCTTATACTGATAATGATATGTTAACAGATATTTTTTAACAACATTTTGACATAATACACGTATCATTTGTGCACACATTTGTGGTAAATAGTTTAAGAAATGCGTCAAGGATGATAAGGCAACGTGACATAAAGCACTCCCTAGGCCTTAGTGGCAATATTGCAGTGTTGCAGGTAACAAATTTAATTTTTATTTAATTTTAATGTGGATGAAATTTGTTTATTATATGATTATCGTTTTGGTTAATTTATTTTTTAGCTTTGGGCTGTTGAACGTTTGGGTTTAGCGGATGATCCACATCACATTGTTTTCCCAAGAATAATAAATTGGCTTACGCTTAAGTTACAGTCAAAGAAAATAGAAGACTTGTTTAAGAAGAAGGATGTAAGTCAGTTGT